AAAAAAAAAAAAAAAAAAAACACTCTGGGCTGAAGATGAAGAGAAGGCAGGACCACACATTAGTCTGAGGCCTTTAATCCAGGGATTATTAACCCCTGCTGGAATTACAAAACCATAAATAATTCACAGTATCACAGCTGATATTTAGTGATGTGTCAGCAAAGAAAAGTCATTATGTTTATTATATTTTATTTAACAAAATAGATATTTAACATCTTTTCATTAGAAATTATTAAACAAAAATTAAAAGATTTAGAATATTTAGAACATTCATTTCAGTGAGAGTTTTTTCATTACTCCACAGTTCCAGAAAGACAAACCAAGCTTGTATCCATCATTAGACTCACATTTTAAATCCAATAAACATTAACACACCTAATAAATTAAAGCAGATTACTATGTCAACTTGTATAAGTCACATAAATATAAACATACATCAAAGCAAACCAAAAATCCTCACTTATGCAGCATAAATTACAACATAAACAGTACAACACAAAACTTTATGCAGCATAAATTACAGTATAAACATGTCTCATTTTGCAATGGATTTAAGTTATATAAACTAAAATTTGAAACTTCACCCAGGGATTAGCAGCCTGAAAATTTACCCAGCAAAGAAGCTGCATGACCCTCCATAGCAGGCAAGACCTAGGCCATTTGCCCAGACAATGTGTCCTTCAACTGGAAACAGGTGTATTCACTAGAACATGTTACCACAAATGCTAGGCTGGTGTAGTCTCATGAAGCAATTAAGTTATATAACTAGAGGAAGATACAAAACTACGAATTATTTTACAGTCCTTACACCTTCATGAGAATTTTGTATATTGTCATTTTGTAATACCTTTATAAGAGAACTGAGAAATCTCACCCTCTCAATGACCCCCCAAAATAATGTCATCACTGTTATGAGCCTGGATATAAAAGAAAAGGACTGTGACCTCAAGGAGAAGCAACTAGTATGCAGAGTATGACCACAGACAAGCTTGTTTTTGTCTTTCCCTCCTAAGTTTCCAGTTCTACTTAGGCTTTTGAGTCAATTTAGGGAGAGAGACCGTACCAGCAAAAAGTGGAAAAACTCGTATAGGTAACAGCTGATTATTACTTAATATTGAGTAGAAAATAAAGAGACTTCACTGAAAAACACTTTTAAATGATTTTCAGAGTTCTAAACCTCTCATTTGTTTACTTAAAAACAACGTATCTGGGGCTGGCCCGGTGGCGCACTGCTATAGTCCGCCACTTGGGAAGCGTGGTGGCGCTCCCGCCGAGGGTTCGGATCCCACATACAGACCGGCCGCTCACTGGCTGAGCGAGGGGCGGGAGCAACACCGAGGGTTGCAATCCCGTGGCCGGTCCCGGTCCGGTACGGGCGCAACACTGAGGGTTGCGATCCGTTGCCGGTCACCAACGTATCTGGGGCTGGCCCGGTGGCGCCCTGCTATAGTCCGCCACTTGGGAAGCGTGGTGGCGCTCCCGCCGAGGGTTCGGATCCCACATACAGACCGGCCGCTCACTGGCTGAGCGAGGGGCGGGAGCAACACCGAGGGTTGCAATCCCGTGGCCGGTCCCGGTCCGGTACGGGCGCAACACTGAGGGTTGCGATCCGTTGCCGGTCACGAAAAAAGACAAAAAGGAAAAAAAAAAAAAAAAAAAACATATCTGTTAGGGCCTCGTAAAGAGAAGGTTGTCTCCTCTGATCTTTGCCTCAAAATCTTCCTAAAACACTCCATATTATAATATAGTCAAATATAATGTATACATATACAAATGCATACATTTGCTAATTTTCCTTAGGATGAACAGATGGCTTAATAATCATTAGTTTTAACACCAAAGTAATTGTTGCTATGTAAATTGTAGGTTTTTATCATAAAAAAACTTTTGAGAAGTTTAGAAAAAGTGAGAAACCAAAAATAACTTAAATGAATCCAAGTTTAATTTAAAACAAGTTTAACCTAAAAGAAGGGATGAAAAAAGCAGTGGCTGCAGACTTACTAATAAAAAGGAAAAGTTGGCAATTATAAATGTATGCAATTGTACTAATACGCCAATTTAAATTTTATATATAAGACTAATTTAAAAGTATATGGAATAAGTATTAACTCTGAAAATAACACTTGCATGCATATAACAATATTTAACTAAAGTTTTTGTTAAATTGCAAAGAAATACTATTAATTTATGAAGAAGATAGTTCTTCTATTCAACTATTAAAGTCCCAATTCCAACAGAACACACCAAAATTAACAAATAATTATGATTCAATTTAACATTCCATCTTTATACTCTTTATAATCCTCTTTGGGAAACAGATCCAAAGATAGGTTAATCCTAAATAAAAGATAAAAGTTGAATATTGTTAATATAAAATATTACAAACAATAGTCACTGAAAAAAATTAACATTTCCACGACTGTAAAACAACCGTCAGATATTCTCTGTACCTACTGTTTTAATGATTTTACTTTCTCTAGCTGACCATTAAAAACTTTTGGTGGACTCAATATGTAATTCATATTTTTTTCTTTTCCTCTCCAACTCCTGCCAATACCTTTAGAGACTTCAACAGCCCCATTTATAAGAACTGTATCACAGAAACACTGCATCACAGGCCTTTATCTTCATGCCACTTCAGCCACTCACTGCTTAGACTGTTATCACTTGGAACTTGTACTTTACTTCTAGGTGCTGGAATTCTTTTTTTTTTTTTTTTTTTTTTTTTTTTTTTTTTTTTTTTTTTTTTT